GTAAAAATGTGGAACTTAAGGGTCTTCTTCTGACCTTTTACTGCAGCGTGTATTAGATAACGACATCACGGAGAGAAAGAAGATTATTTTTTTTTTTCTCATACACCGTATGTCGTTCAAATCGATATTTTTTTTTTTTTTTTTTTTTTTTTTTTTTTTCTATTTGACACGATGTAATAATTTCATAATTTTGTCTCTTTTCCACCTACACTAAATCATGATACAACTGCAATCTACAATAAATAATGTAATCTATAAAAATGTAATCTGTATACAATTTTTTAAGAAATATGGATGTTTTTATGCCTGTTTCTAAAGAGAGAGAGATTTTTATATAGTTACATATTATTTGACACTAACTAAAAACCAGGTTTATTAGTACAGATTTGGAGAAATTTATCGAATACAAAAAATATATCATAAAATAAATCAAGAGCTGCAGGAACAAGTCAATGCCCGTATTTATGTGTACAAAAAAAAAAGCAAGATTAAAAAGTATGGTAATAGTGCAGATTAGGGGAGCCACTTCCGATTTCAATAATTTTTACATATGTTGCCCAAGGTCATTGTCCCGAGTAATAGTGTGAAGGTTTTAGGCGGAGGTCGTTGTTTTTTAAAAAGTTACAAAAGGAAGAAGTTTTATGAATAAATTCTTCTTTTTCGGTCCCACGTACATTTCGTTCGCGTCTGAAGAGCGTAGGCAGGGGGGGGGCGCAGCCCCCCTGTACCCCCCTCTAAAACCTAACCTTCAAAAGGGGCTTTGCTTCTCCCCCTGCTCCCCCCTCGAAAATCAAGTACCCACTTTTCACAAGAAGCTTGAATTGAGCTTTGAAGCTTTGTACTTGATTTTCGAGGGGGGAGCACGGGGAGGGGCAAAGCCCCTTTAGAGGAGGAGGTTAGATTAGGTTAGGTTTTAGAGGGGTGCAAGGGGGGCTGCGCCCCCCCTGCCTACGCTCTTCAGACGCGAACGAAATGTACGTGGGATCACAAAATCTTATGTTTGTTTTATTTAATTATTTATATTTTCGTTTATCGGATATGTAACAGACATTATTTAAAAAAAAAACGTCCAATCGTTCATCAAAATCAAATGTTTTTTTAAATACGAATTCTGCCAAGTAATCCTCGAAATGACATTCTTTGCGTATAAACAAACGCTAACATGTGCACACATAACACTGACAAACACACGTAACAAACGCGGAACACATATTCATACATAGGGTGTCGCGAGAAATTGCATAATTGTTCAGTAGACTTCTTTCCTTCATAACTTTTTAAAAAAACAACGACCCCCGCCTAAAACCTTCAGATTATTACTCGGGACAATGACCTTGACAACATATGTAAAAATTATTGAAATCGGAGGTGGCTCCCCTAATCTGCGCTATTACCAAAAGTATAATTTAAAAAAAGGCTATTGCCAAAAAAAAAAAGAAAAAAATTATGATCAAAAATATGACAAAAACATACGTAGGTCGGCTCACTCATAGAAAGATCTTTAAGATCGTCCTAAGTTTTCACTTTGAGATGCTCTGTAGCTCTTGTGAAACAAATTATAGAGCATCTCTCAAGATCATAAGACGATCCTAAATACAAGATCTCGCACTGTGAATAATAATAAATACCCGGCCGTAGTGTTTGACCAAATTAAACGTATTTAACTCAAAGATTATAAAAACGAGGAGATAAGAGAAACAACTTTGACAACTCTGTGACAATCCGTCTGATTAACTTAAATAAAAACAAAAAAACAAAAAAAGTCAGTCGCCCTTATTCTCTCGTTTATCGACCTGAATAGCTATTCTTTGTGGATAATATCCACGGTTCGTGTGCATAAGGACGGAGATGGCTACTAGGAACTGCGAGGCACTGCAAAAGGTGTATCGATCGCGAGCGGATCGATTAGCGCTACGCCGAACGCCAATCTCGAACGCAATTCTCAAATCAAATACTCTATTGCTTCGTCCTCTCTTTTTTTTTTTTGCTTTTAGAACGGCGCATTGTTGTAGCCCCAAGTATACATGAAAACGCGAAATTCGTGTTTGCGTACAAAAAATCCTGTGTGCTGATGGCTCCACCAAATTTCAGTCGTACAGCTCGATAATGTATGTATTGTATGTAGATTATCAAAAACATCACAGTCAGGTTGCTAGGTTTTTTTTTTCTTTTTTTAGAGAAGTGTTCGTCAGCACGCCGCGCGCGTGCATTTTGAAATTATCCCCTGCCTATTAATTCACATTATACGATAGACCTCTAACGCGCGTTCGGCAATTATTATCTCTCTTTCCTCTCTTTTGTCTCTAATGTTTCAATGCGCAATATATATATATATATAAGATCGATTACTATTATCTTTAACTTATTGTTAACTGTTCATTTGTGTTCTTCACTCGCTTAACAATTCGCTCAATACGGTAAAAACGCGCTGTTTACCATAATTTTAACATGTCCCAGGATTCTCGTTATGTGTTATCGCCGCGTGTAACGAGTTTCTGTCGAATTCTTTCCAAGATCGGTATCGCGTTTCAACGCACAGGCTCTTTGGATGTCGCGTTGAAGAGAAACAGTGAGTAATTGCTAGACAACTCGCGCGTACGATCACGCGTAATATCACTTCTTATCGAATAACGCGAGTTTGCTGCGCACGGCACCCTCGCACACAACCAGCCGTTGCGCGGCGGAGATACTGCTAATCGGCACGGGCCCCTCTAGACTTGCTCGCAGCAGAGACAGACGGCTAGGACCGGCGTCACCGTGATCGCCGTGTCTACCCGCCTGCTTTCTCTCGAAGTACTCGACAATTTTCGAGATAGTTTTGCTCGACGAGCCGATTCCGTTCAGTCGGTCTTCCCAGCACGAGTCGCCACCACCTAGACTGGCGATGTCCTCGGAAGAGTCCGTGTAGATCGAGCTGGTTCGATGATCGTCCAGCAGAAATAAACTGCTCGCCGCCGAGCTGCTGAGGGTCGATGTGTGTCGTCTGTTCGGCGGCTCCGGACTCAGATCCTCGCCGACGCAGCTCCAAAATCCGGATTCGCAGCTGCCGCGCCTACGCGGCTCCCAACCATCTCGAAAGAGCGGATGGGCGAACAAGCTCGCGGCGCCTACTTTAGTAGCAACCTAAAAGAACGGAAATAGTTTCATGCTATTGAAACAGTTTTATTTCAACAAATTGCATCAGATTTTTTCGCAATTACCTTTCTCTCCCATTTTTTCCTCGCGGTTGGACTACTCGGCTCGGAACTCGGTTTCTTTCTGTCCAGAATTTTCGCGATGCTGTCGTTTTGCGCCGGTTTGAACTTGCCGCACGCGCCATCGGTGACGCTGGGTCGCACGTCTTCCAGCGATGGTAGTTCAAGACAGCTGGAGAACAAGTCGCCGAGGATCTTCTTGACACCGCCAAGCGCGTGGAACGGATTCGCCGTCATCGGTCTGTAATGCGGGTCCCGTCGGCTCGCGAGTTCGGCCACCCGTCTGGCCGAATGGCACCTCGCCTTGTCCGAGGGGGTCGCGTTGTCGCAGCCTCTCGCGTCCGCCGACTGGCTCCTGAGTTTCGCAGTACGTCGCTTTAGAGTGCGTCCTTCCCGCGCGATTTCGTCCATGCTGGACATCAGCGCCGAGTCGACGGTCGACTGCCGTTTGCCGATGTTGGTCTTAAGCTCTTCTTCGCAGGCTGCTATCATGGTGTCCAGGCTGGTCGTGATTTCCGGAAACGTTGGTCTTGACTTGGGTTCGTACTGCGAAACAAACAATCGTTCTTTTTTTTATTCGTTGCGCGCTGTTTAGATGTTTATCTAAACGATGATAAAATCACGCACGCGAATACACACACCCGTGTGTGATCTCAAAGATAATTTCAATTACTGAGTCATGGAATTCTTAACAAAACTGACGCGTGATAAACATCTGTGCTTCGGACTTTGCGCTTGCGTGCGTATGTACAATATCACACAGAATACTCTGATTTTCCGCTGCACAGCAGTTATATACTAATCTAAGCGACGTGATTCGCGCCGGATCCGCAATTGCGTGTGGCTTTTTACAGTTAGAGATCGTCATACTCACTGTGCAGCAGTTGAAGGCAAGCTGCAGGAAGGCAGGCGGTGGATCAGCGGCCGCGCAGATCTCCGCCACGGCCAGGTAATCGAGGCCAAAGTTATCCGAGCGTGGCAGAACGTCCGGATCCGCGGGCACCCGGCCGATCAGCTCGCACACGACGATGCCGAACGAGAAAACGTCGGATCTGTGATCGTACCATTGGCCCTTCAGACACTCGGGTGACATCCAGTAGGGACTACCAACCGTGCTCAACCGATAACCCGTGCTGGGATCCGGTATTTTCGCGGCCAATCCGAAATCGCCCACAACCGCGGTCATCTCGTTATTGATCTCGTCCTTTTTGATCAGCACGTTCTTGGACGTGAGGTCGCGATGGAAGAGGCCGCGACTGTGCAGGTAGGCCATGCCGCGCGCCACGTCCCTGGCGAGGTTCATCCGAACGAGATGCGGTAACGGTGTGTGCCGTGACATGATCAACTGCTCCAGACTGCCGCCGTTAATGTACTCCGTTAATGCGTGCAGCTGGCCCTCGTGCACGCACACTCCCATGAATCTGGGAAGCAAAAGAGATCGATCTTCGAACAGATGTGCTTTCTCAATCGGGACTCAATATGTACTCCTCCGCGAAAAAGTTGTTCTTAGGATAAAATGATATTTTAATATATACTGGAAGATGTGCTTTGAAAGAGGAAATAAGCGCGAATGTACACGAGAGATATATAGTTTTAACACTAGATATACCTAGCTATTTAAATATACCTGTTAAAAAATACAAAAAATATATTTGTTACGAATATATATAAAGTAACATTAAGTTCGTAAGATGTATTCTCTACTTGTAGCTACAAAAGTCATAACATCATTTCGGAAAGCAAATGTTACACGCAGGGTTGGCAAGAAAAAACCAGGGGGTGGAAAAAACCACGGTAAATTCCGGTTTTAACCGTCCTGGACTTTATTCCTAAACTGGCATAAACTGGCAAAAATTATACAAATGATTAATACATGTATTTATTATGTAGTTATAAAATTTATATTATTAATATTTATATTATATTATATTAATATTATAGTATTAATACATGTAGTTATAAAACTTTTTACCAATCTATATCTTGTTCGCAATTATACTCAACATTTGTATTTAACATTCTATAACAGAAAACTAGTTTGTTTGATATTTCAACTCCTAATCTATTGCGTACTTTATTTTGTATGAAACTTAAATTCGAAAATAATCTTTCTATTGACGCCGAACTCGCTGGACAGTTATGTAGACGCATAACAAAATTAATAAATTCTGCAGGAAAATCATCGTTTTTACATAATGCTTTCCACGACGTTCTGACATTTATATTTCTAGCTTTCTCAAAAAAAAAAAAATGATTTTAGAAAACATTCTAAAATATTAAATATTAAATATTAATATTAATATTAAATATTTACTTCGGTTTAGAAAACATTAATTGTTGCCGGTTTTTTCCAGAAAATACCGGTTTTTACCACTGGCATGGACTTTTTCCAAAAAAACCGGACTTTTGCCAACCCTGGTTACACGCAATAGGAATTTTGAATTGAAATTGCACGACCAGTCAAAATGACCGGTCTGATAAATCTAAGTGTTAAGAAACCAACTTATTTATTTTAAAAAAAGTCGCTCGCAAATGTTCAATATGTTTCTTTCCGAAGTCCAAAACTACAAGTTTTCTAGCAAAAAAAAAAAAAGATATAACGTTTCTTTACCAGAGAGTAATGTACAAATATTGTTACAGTAGAATTTAAAATGTAAATTGTCTTATACAGGTTACAAAAGAGAAGACGAGAATCGTAGGTTGAAATTAACTTCTTATTCAACGGACACTTTACATCACACAATTTGCATAATAAGGTTTGAAAGAAAAAGAGAGATAAAATCGAGTTGCGAGTTCGGACTGCTAAAAAGATTTTAACACACTGCTGAGACAATATTCTTCAAAATGGTTACAAGGCGAAGTTTGTCGCGTCTCATTCACGCAAACATGAGCGAACTTGGAATTTGCGTTTATCAATTTAACGATCCATTCCAGTCGAGATTAGATAGTGCGAGAAACAGAGAAAATAGAACACAGTTGTCACACTTGTGACAATGTCGCGTGTTTTTATTTTTCAACATCAAGCGACTTTTTTTTTATAAAAACGATTGTAAAAAACAAACATCCAACAACGAACAATAAATATTTAAAAAAAAAGAACAAAAGTGAAACTCCAAAGAAAAAACATAAACGTACACGTGTGTGAAATTTTTTTATTGTCATTTAAAAAGATTTAAACAACAATTACTTGTAAATTAAAAAACCATTATTTTTAATATTCCACATCGTGGCATATCGTAAGCAAATTGTAATCTCAAGTTAAAAGAGGAATGAAACTACTTTTATTAAAACAAAAATATTGGAAAAAATATTGTTTTTATTTTAAACTTCGTCTTTTTTTTTTTTTTTTTTTTTTTTTTTTTTTTTTTTTTTTTTTTTTTTTTTTTTTTTTTTTTTTTTTTTTTTTTTTGTCCAATCATTCGTCGAGTGAACAATAAAGTCATATAACGACGTCTGTTTGAAAAGTCTGCGTATCTCTGACATGTGCATTATATTTTTCATTGCGATATCTCACCGCACGTTATCTTTATAGCTGTATTGTGCTCTAGATTAAGTTTTGAAAAATTTAAACACCGACTTGTTTTTATGTTGCGAAGAATCATCACGGCCTCGCTTATCGGAAGAAGAGCTCGCTTCGAGATCAAAACAATATGGGATATATTCAAACAATGTAGATCGCACAACGATACAGATATCGATATACGTTGTCTGAAGAAGACCTTACTAACAGGTCCTAACTTATACAATCTTCAACGCGCGATAAGCGCGTGTCAATTTTCATCGTTTATTTATCTACGCGCAAATATAGACTTTACGCGCGTCAAACAAAACAAAATTAACATTGAGGATAACGTGATCGCGCGCATCGCGTGAAAATTACTTTGTTTGCATTTCTCCCGCGGAGAAAGAGCTTAATCGACGAGTGCACTTAATCCGTTATATCGAATAAAATCCAAAACGAACAAGATTCGCCAACGCGCGAAGGCATCATCGGCTTGAGAGAAGAAGACTCACGCGCCGCGTCGTCGTCGTCCCGATTTCGAGGCGACGCGTTTCACGTCCGACGCGTTTTCTCCCACAAGTGACAGAAAAAAAAAAAAAAGAAAAGAAAAAAAAAATACGCGACAAACAACGCGAGCGAAAGAGAAATTACTGGCGGGAGAGGAATTTTTCCTGGATGTAAACTCAGACGCGATGCGTACACGTGATGCTCCAGATTCGTTTTTAACCGATCAGATAAGAAGAGAAATTGTCGCTTTTTCCTTACGAGTTTGCCAATTGCGTACAGCAAACCAAAGCGGTAATTATATATCGCGTCACGCTGAAAATAAAACATAACGCGCATATAACGAGATGTCTGAAAAGTAACGAGATGTTTGAAAAATTTGCGTACACGGTCACAAGAGTGAAAGCCAATATGATAATATGCGAGCGAAAGTGCACATCGCCAAACAGAAGGATAATGCGAGCGAAATATAAATAGCGCGCGATTTATCAAAAAAAAAAAAAATAAATAAATAAATAAAAAAAATAATCGTATTAAATCGTAACTTGTCTGAAATGGAGATCCGTCTCTCCTGTTACCATCTTCATAAATTATTTCACGCGTCGTTATTTCTCACACCAGCAACATTCGATCATTTTATCTTCACTTTAAAATTTTAATCCGATTTTGATTACGCATCAACATAATTAATTGTCCATTAAATGGTACGGTCTCACTTTAATATCAATTATCTCGATTCAAATCAGTGGAACGCAAGTGCTTACTTAAAAGCGATATAAGCGCGCAAAGTCCAACGCCAGAAGAAGGAGCCGATGGTCTTAGCTGCCGTCTGACCATATAGCATCAATATCTACTACCGGAGAATGCCGGATTCTCTCTCTCGTTCGCGCGATTTTAGAACGAATTCATTCTTCGACAAGCCAAATATTATGCAAAAGGGCGTTCGCGCGTATACTACACATCGGTGTGTGTGAATCTATCACGTTCGAACGTAAGAATTATCCGACGTTTCGAAGAAACGGGCGGGGGATATTTTTGGACACCTCATATGTCCGCGCGGTTGTTTTCATTCAAGAGCGCGCGCTGCTCTCTCGCAACGGAGCGGTGACGCATCGATTGTCTAATGTGGCGGTGCCGTTCCGAGAATTATGAGTAGGATCCGCTGACGATACTCTACGACATCGTTGAATAATTGGTTAGACCATCGCGCGGAGATATACTTTCCGCGCCTGGCTCTTCGAAAATATATTGTACACACACACTTTCGAACGCCGTCATATATGTTGCGTCAGTGAATAATTCGCGATATTTTGTTACAATTTACTATAAATTTTTTACAGTCTATTTTTATACTCGGAGAATGGTAGAAAACAAATTTACAAAAATAAATACTCTGTCATAAATATTTTTAAACGATATTTGTGTTCTAATGCAAAAACGAATTCGAAGCCGCAATAATCCGCGTTTAATACACCGATAATGCAATCACACGTAGATATGTACTTTCTATTTCGCGCGCAATTTTCTATAGTTACGACAGCGCAATGAACGTAATGACACACGGCGGCAAATATGCCGCGAATATAAAGACGGACAACTATTTTTACGGATGAGTCAGTCCGGGGGGGGGGGCGCGCGGAAAAGCGGAGAATCCTCGCGAGAGAGGACTTCGCGATTTTCGCGGAGGCCGCGAGGGAAACGCCAGAAATAAGATCCGCTAGGTCCGCGGCGGGTAAACATCGTATCCCCGAATCTGGGCCAAGCCGTTTATATCGTCGGAATGCGTTGTCGTCGTCTCGTCGAATGCGCGCGCGCGCTTGTCGTCGCGCTTTAGCATCGGCGCGTTGTTGTATATATATATGTTATGTCATAATCGTCGAGAAATCGCGTTTGCACGGAAAACCCACGATTCCGAGGAAAAAAAAAAAAACGTGAACAAACAATGATTGTAACGTGACCAATCCGATAATATTTTACTCGCGCATTTACTTGTGCGCTTCTATATATGAAGGTGTTGCGCGCGGCCGTGCGTGCGTTATGCACACATCCCGGGCTCACTTCGTGAGCTTCTGCTCTCCTCTTCTATGCAGCTAAAGAATTTTCGCAACGCGGCTAAACCGCCGTTACCGCTAGCTAGGCGATGTACAATATTATGTCGTAATTCGTGTAACAAGCGCGGTTAAAGCGCAATACCGTTTGTTTTTTTTTTCTTCTTCTCTCATAATCTTCTATTCGCTCGTTTCAACGATCAACCGAGCGAGAGAAATTTCAACGATATATAATCGAAATTGAACGATCATTGATAAAAAAAAAAAAAAAAAAAACGCACGATAAAACACCGTTCCGTCACTACGAGCGCGCGTGTCAATGGCGAGAAAATATAAGCAATTAAAATCGAATCGTAACGAGCACCTTGACAGTCGCCACGTGGATCTTCTTACAACACAACACAATACACACACACACGTACAATTGTTCCAACAGAGCCGCGCCGAGAATTTTGCCAAGACCGAAAACAGATTCTAGAATTTCTCGAATTGATTCACGACACCGCAAACAAGCGGTAAAGAGAATTGTAAACTCAAACCGCGCGCGATAAATCGTCAAGTGTCGCGGAAAGATACTGTGAGAATTTCCTTTCCGAAATTTCCGTTGCGAAAGATGTTGTACAATATTACAAACGAAAGATTAACAAAAAAATCGTGATGCGTTTGCAACAAATTTGCGACAAATTTAACAATGCATATCGATTACGTAGGTATCGTTTCGCACATCTCTAATTTAATTAATATAATTAAAGTAATTTTTTATCGCCAAGTCACACAAGTTGTGTTGTGACAATTTTCTCGCGTGTGATTTGAGCGGAAAACGGAAAAGAGAGAAACGTCGCGCGCGCGACGTTTTCTTTCTCTCCGCTCCCGAATTGCCTCGGAATAATTCGATTGCGCGCGAAAGAGAATTGATCGCGTCTTCAACGCGAGATATAAAAAAGAAAGAGATTAAAAAAAAACGGAGCACAAACAACCGGAGCAAGGTAGAGGTTTCTCATCATCGTCGTCGTCGTCGTCGTCGTCGTCAAATTCGGCACGTACGGCCGATCGATTTTCTTCGATCAACGAGCGAAAGAGTTTCACCGGCAAAAAAGTGAACCGGATTCGGGACTCACCTGAGTATGTTTGGATGGCTGAGCTTGTTCATGAGCTGAACTTCCTTGAGCATGTTCGGCCTGTTCGCCGCCAGCTGATTCATCTTGAGCACCATCACCTGACTCGTCACTTTGTGGGTAACCTGGAAAAACAAAAGCGAGCATGGAAGAGGTTGATGACATATTGCGACATGTGCGATCGCGCGCGTCGCCGCGCGTATTGCGACTATATTCATAGTTAGATCATACCGACAGGTGCACACGTAATCGTTCCGTTTCTTTGAGCGCGTCGTCATGTGATCTTTTCCGAGGTCACACAAGAGCGAGGACAACGAGAGCCGTTCCTCGAGAGCGAGGTGTGTTTTTTTTTTTCTCGTTCTGTCGCAAATCTCCCACTGAATTGAAATTGTTAGAAATCCTCACAATTTTGTGAGGAACAAATATACGCAATGTAAATACGCAAGAACAAATAAGAAGTATTATTTTTTGACTTCAAATATAGATGTAAAATCAAATCTGGTTGTAACCAAAAAAAAAATCGCGCTTTTTAAAAATATATCACAATATAAAATTAAACTCTAAATAAAAAAACAAGAACCAAATTAAAATGCTCTTGTTTTGATATTTTCCGGTAATCAGGAATCTTCCCGAGTCGAAATTTAGCGTCTACATTGAACCTCAATTCCTCTTTTTTTATGTAGGAGTAAGAGAGAAAGTAGATCCTACTTTGACGCTGCTATACGTCCGAAATTTCCTTTTTTTCTGCTAAAGTTTTAAAGTAGGGTTCAATTCTCAGATCAGACTGCGCATCGCAGGCTCTGATAGGCTCAAAATAGGTTCTGATAGGCTCAAAGTAGGAGTAAGAAAAAAAGTAGGTGCTACTTTGACGCTGCTATTACGTCCGAAATTTCCTTTTTTCAAAAATTGAGGTTCAATGTAGACGCTAAATTTCGACTCGGGTTGTTAATGAATTTTTTTTTGTCTCAAATATTTATATTAGATCTACCGGAAAGTTCTGTCCGTTTTTAGAATAAAACAAAATACAAATTTTTCTTAAGTTTTCAAAAATGCGATATACAAATTGCCCTCACGCTGGCAAGAAATCATTAATAATAATAACAATTATATTATTTAATAAAGTTTATTGACGGTAAGAAAAATTTGTATCTTGTTTTATTCCAAAAACGAACAGAACTTTCCGGTAGACCTGATATAAAAACAAAAAAAGAAAGTTTTTTTAACTCGATAAAACTCTCGTCTTTAAGATATTCGCGCGCGACGATTATTAACGTCGTGTCTGTAATGTTGACGAATCATTCAATTGCTCAAAGGCGACAACAGATGCGATTCTTCATATCCCCGATCGCGAAAGGAAGGCCCGTTGTCACTCCGTTTCACGTAGCGCGCGCGCGAGAGAGAGAGAGAGAGAAAGAGAGAACGCGCCAAGGCGATATTTCCCTCGCGAAAGAGAAACTTATTAATGAAACCGCGGCATCTGGTTGGCGAAAGACACGAGAGAAGACGCCGATCGTGCTACTCACGCGGCATCTCTCTCAATGTCGAAAATGGGCATATGGGCCATTAACTTATTCTTTATTAGCCTTGAAAGCCGGCACGCGGCTCCTTTAATGAACGCGCAATCATCGCAGCTTCTCGCGGTACATTATTATACGGATGTTCCCGTAGAGGGAGAGTTGTGGAAATTATATCAAGCGCGCGAGCTCGATATCAAATCGCGCTTCTCCGCGTCAACGCTTCTCGACTTTCATCATTCCGTATACAATATATGTCTCTCTCTCTCTCTCTCTCTCTTTCTTCTCTCTGTCTAGTATCACGAATACCACAAGTAGGTCGTTATTGGATTTAGAACAAACACGAGTTAATTGAGCGAGCGCGAATACCGAAGAAAGAGCTACGGTCCATTACGGAGTTAATTGAACAGACTCGTGAAATGTTGTCGTGAGACGTAATATCGATACGTGTATCAGCTTTCGTCTCAAGGATTCTCGCACTTGATGACGGATGTTTAAAAATAACGCGCGAGGAGAGATATTGGGACTTTTCACTTGTCCGCGCGCAATTTTGTTACTTGCACGTTCTTCATGAAGAAAATAAAGAACATCCGATGTATTATATTCGTGACGAGAGAAAAAACGTCTTTTGAGTCAAGTAGATGAGGTTAAAAAAAAAAAAAACCCACACCGGATTACATCAATACTCGATCCGCGTTGTCGAAAAGCCGTAACGCACTCATTTAAATTCCAACGCTCTCGCGCGCATTTTTCCGGCTCGTCTCGGATTTCGCGTCCCGGGCTCGAAGAAAGAATTGTCGGCCGCGATGAAAACGGGAACGCTCGGATGAAAATAAAGACGCGGAAAAATATGAGAGAGAGAGAGAGAGACAGAGAGTCTCTCCCAAGACAGAAAGGAAAGCAAGATGAGAATTTCGCGGGCTAAAAAGTCAAGAATAATATCCGAGAAGAATCTTGGCCGGGAAAATTCCTTGGCAGTGGCTGGCTCGGTTGGGCTCGTCGCCAAAAAAGCAACGACGAGCGTGTACGAAAGTTCGAGTCCGCCGAGTAAACACAGAAGAGCGAATCTGCGAAATTGTCGCGGTTGACGGACAAAACGAAGAAAAACAAAAAAAAAAAAAAAACCAAGCGTCGTTCAATTCGAAAAATTTGGATTTCGCGCAAAACCGCCGGACCGGAAACATCCGTCCGAATTTCGTCACGTGTCCACTTAGTGTCGCGTTACGCTCGTTTTCACTTGTCGAAAACCTTTCACATAGTCGTTTTTTTTTTTTTTTTTTACACAGAACGTGTCTCGCGAGTTTTTCTCCCCGTGTGCGCGAAATGCGCAACACACATTGGACACAATTTGAACACATCTAGCGGAACACCTTTCGAAATGGATGCGGAAGTTCGTTGACCCGCGAGAGGGTAGAATTTTTCTCTCTCTCCGCGCGCAACATCTATTTAAATTGTCCATATAATTTACTACCAGGTAATCCATACACATGATTGCGACGTGATGCGCTGTTTCTTTCGGAAAGAAATAAAAGTAGTAGTTAAACTTAAAGTCGGTCGCAGTCAAAACGGCTTCGCCTCGGCTGAAGGTTCTCTATGTTTTATCGTCGAATAAATTGTCGTTAATGCGCGAGACGAAGTCGCGGACTTTCATTTAGCGTTCACGCAAATTGCAATGAAGTTACGAGCGCGTAATTGATCATGGCCACGAGCGCGCGCGCGCGCGTGCGCTGAACGGACCGTCTGTAATGAGGCGCGTCGAGTTTTTGCGTTTGCAAGTAATCGTGTGACACCCAAACTTCTTTTATATTCGAGGCGCCCAGATATACGAGAAAACGAGAACGCTCGAGAGTTTCGCATTTGATGGCGCCGCGACGGCGCTCGACCAATTCATCACCCATTGTTTACAAGATCAAATATAAACATTCTGCAATCTCTCTCATCAAAAATATATATCAGTCGTAATTATTTAAAAAACAACGATAATATTCAGTTCAATTAATGATATAATTGTATATTTTTCTTTCTAATTGTATACAAAAATACGTTCAAAAAGACGGATATTAATAATTATGAAATATATTTTACGGTCATCCGAGCCGATCGCGGGATGTTGTGCGGAAAACTGCGTATATGCGATGCAAATCCAGCATCCAATATGAATTTAAGAATTTTTTGATATTCAATTCAAAAAACTCGCGCGTAAAAATTTACACGCAAACAAATATATATATGTATATACATATATATATATATACACGCAGTTTTCCGCACAACATCCTGCGATCGGCTCGGATGACCGTAAATATATTTCTTAGTTTAGTAACTTATCGAGCTTTAATAGGATTTAATTATTAATAATTATATTTAGCTATTTAATAATAAAACCAAAATATTTTTAATTACATCTTTACAGCTCGTTGAATATTTTAATAAAAAGAACTAAGGAAACAATAACAAGCTAACACCAGATGTTCGGGGGTACAATTCTTTTATAATTCCAAGATTTTAAAAAATTTTTAACAAACGTTTCGATCAACGTGAAAATATTTTCAATCGCTCATTCTATAAAATTATTAAATATATGTATAAAACACGCAATTATTTTTGCAGAATTTGAAGAAAAATAATGTTTACAAACATAACTTCTCTTTAATAAAATATTTTTTATTATATGAAAATCGAAATGCACGAACAATATGTGCCAGTTTCACAAGTCTTCGCTCTCTCCTTTAATTAAATTAACGAGTAAAAAAAGTTTCAAATGTAAATATAAACGACGAGTCAGTAAGTAGAGTCGATTAATAAAACCGGACGATGCTGCTGTGGTCACCCACACCGATTCATTTGAATAATTCCCATTGTCTGGAAAGCATCGGCCTTGCGTGTTTTCTACGCACTACGCGCTATTGTGTTTACGGTCACGGAGAGAAAGCACGCGCGGCAATTACTATGTAGCACCGAGTGATTAATACCTCCTTAAGCGTCGCATGCATAATGCGAAACGCGTTTCGCGTCTTTTCACCCACACACGGGGGGAAGACCGCTTGCCATAAGAACGATCGGTTCAACGAATGGAGAAATTGAATATAAAAAGAAAGCCGATTCCACACATTAGTGTGGAACGGAATGTTAAAACGAAGGAATTTAAAGAATTGGAGCGATTTCAGCACTCATTCATTGGAAGTAAACCCTAAATAAAAAACAAAAATAAAAAAAAAAAGAAATCACGCGTTCTCTCCGCTATGTCAGATTCTCTCTGCCTTTCCGCAAACTTACTATTGACGGTTCTCAAGACAACGACAATGCCAATCTAAAACTAATTAAACGCGAGTATATATTATATCAAAGGAAAGAGCACACAAGAATAAATTTCAAATTATCCATTTTTGTTATCTCTAAGCTAAATAAGATTAAATTTCGTTGAAAATCAGCGAGTTATCGATTTTCATATGATTCACAAGCACCGTTGGGGTTCGTTTCATAGAGAGAAAGAGAGAGAGAGAGAGAGAGAGAACAGAGAAACGAACGAGCACTCCATCTGTCAAGTATCGTTCCAGGAAGCTACGGTGCAATTAAGAGCAGCGAACCAATTAGCAAGCGCACTCGACTCT